TGATTGCGTGGTACAGTGCAGTAATCACACGGTACTATGTAATTAACGCACTGTACTAGTGTGAATGGGCCCTCAAAAACACTGACATACATACACAACCACAGACACAGTCTCACACACACTCCAAAAATGTTTTATTTCTTTTTAAGGTCCACCCAGTCTCCTTAATTTACGAGAACTGGAGTGGACCCTCAGCCTGGGGTCCAGGGCGGGCTGCTGTGCTGTGACGGAGCTCCATCCATATGTGCGTTGTACAGCTCCCTTGCGCGCCCTGTAGAGGTGCCGGGGGCCAGAATGTGACGTCACTCCGGTCCAGGCACCTCTATAGGACTCGTGAGGGAGCTGTAAGCGATGCACGTTTGGGTGGAGCTCCCTCGCGGCCATACCCTCATCCCATCTCAAGCTGACACTCGGCAACATGCTGCATATTTTTAAAGGTTGCTTTGTGTGAGAACAGACAACGCTGCGCTAGGGGGAGGCAGAGGAGCCTCTCAACTAGAAAAGTGGAAGGCATGCGGTGAACCACTAAACACGGGGTCACGACCCACCAGTTGAGAACCAAGACCTTAGATGATCTCACACTGCAGATTACAGCTGCGATGATACAGAACAGGAGTGTCTAGGCACAGGAAGCACACCAATATTTGTTAGGAGGACGTACATTTTTCAGGGTACCCCTCAAGGGGAACTGAACTTGCCTCCCCTCACTGGTGTGGACATCTTCACCGAGGCTTCTTCCAGGTTCAGGATCTTCGGCCATTTTGATTGATGGAACTTTCACGTATATTTACATATTTTCTGTTCATTTGTTTGAGGTCCGAGGTGTGCCCAAAATATACACTTAGCTGTGCAATTATGTAATCTCTCCCTCTTGTAAACATTAACCCCTTCGTGACTGACGACGTACAGTGTACGTCGCCAGCATCGGGGCTGTTTAAACAGACTCCCGGCGACTTTTGCCGCCGGGACTCTGTTTAAACTTGTAGAGCCGACTGTCGGCTTTACAACAGAAGCGATCCTGGCGACTTACCTGTCGCCAGATCGCTTCTGCGTCCCGAATTCTCTACCTCTCCTGTAAACATTTTCCTTCCCCGCGTTCTCCTCTTGTACACACGTTCCTCTCTCAAACTGACTGTACAGTGCAATACATCTCAGTGCTGCTGCTGTGCCGGAGATTACAGGAGGGTGACGGCATGAGAAATTCGGGTACACAGGCCAGGTGCATGTGAAATACATTGAATGTTTGTTACAATAAGTATAAATGGGACTGAAATGTATCCAAACCAAATACCTATAAATGATACATTGCGGCTTACCTGGCGGCTGTATTAGTTTTCCCCTTTTCTTGTAATCGGATTATCAGCAGAACAGATAAGATGAGGAAAGGACACAGTCCCCTTGTCACACATAACGCCCACTCATCATAGTGCCGGAAAACGTTCCCTTCCAGTCATGAAACTGAACAATGGAGAAGACCCCCGAACCTCACACCCAACCCCCAAGCAGGACAATGGAGTAGAGACCCCCGATCCCCACACCCAACCCCCAAGCAGGACAATGGAGAAGAGACCCCGATCCTCACACACAACCCCCAAGCAGGACAATGGAGAAGAGACCCCGATCCCCACACACAACCCCCAAGCAGGACAGTGGAGAAGAGACCCCGATCCTCACACACAACCCCCAAGCAGGACAATGGAGAAGAGACCCCGATCCTCACACACAACCCCCAAGCAGGACAATGGAGAAGAGACCCCGATCCTCACACACA